TGTGGGATCCGAACCCTCGGCGGGAGCGCCTCCGCGCTTCCCAAGCGGCGCACTAGCGCAAGTGCGCCACCGGGCCGGCCCCTCGCTAGTATTTCTTAAGGGACTACTGGAGTATTTGTGAGAGGCTCTTACTTTTTTGTGATTCCTAGAGGCAGACAGGGTCTCACATGGAGGGATGCAGGAAACACTGAGGTCTGGTAGGTAAGGGACTGGCAGTGACGTATTATAAGTCCCATTGTTCTTTGCCTCCCTGAGAGATTGTTCTGCTCAAAGTCTAGTTCTTGACCATTTTTTATTTTACTGACCTGCACCATCATACAAGTTAATAGCACAGAAATACAATGAGACAACACCTTGGAAGGATGTTCAAAGAGATGAAAGTAAGTAAAGAACATGATGCTGATCATTTATACTGGATATCATTGCACTCATCTCCACAAATCCAACTCAATTAATTTGGATGCATTTTTAATAATTCAACACAAATTAATTTAGAAATTTTGTAAGAAAATCTTTTTTTATCATTCTTGAACCCCATTAGTAACAGGAAGTAGACAGAACAGTATTCATAGAAGAAACAGAAAGTTATAAAAGAGTCGCTCACCAATAAATACAACAGGATCAGATGTTTTAACAGGTCAAGTCTACCATATCTCTAACTATCAGATAAGCTACCACTACATACTTAATTTACAGATATCAAATGATTACCATTCTGCGGGGGTGCACCTGGGGTCCTCCCGCAGACCCAGAAGGAGAAGGAGCTGACAGGATTACCCCCGGTGTTGGGACCGAGGGATCTCGGGGAAAAGTGAGCCTGCTGCCCACCAATCCAGCTCCGTGAAAGAGACACTCAGACGCGGCAAGGGTTCTGTCAGGGCAGTTCCACTTTATTGCCATTACACTGCAATTTATATAAGCAAGCAAGTAGGGGCTTTCCATGAACTAAACAATCAACTAAAGGATCACGTGGCCATGCATTTTGTACTAACACACTGAGCATAGGGGTCACACAGGGTTCACGAGTGCGGGAATACTGGAGAACCAATAAAAACCTTTTGGAGCTATCNTTATATAAGCAAGCAAGTAGGGGCTTTCCATGAACTAACCAATCAATTAAAGGATCACGTGGCCATGCATTTTGTACTAACACACTGAGCATAGGGATCACACAGGGTTCACGAGTGCGGGAATACTGGAGAACCAATAAAAACCTTTTGGAGCTATCTTGGATTACGCCTCCCCTATTTCCCATGGGCACCATCTTCATCCTCCACCCATAGACACCATGTGGCTCACAGATAATGTTTGCTCCTAAAAATGGGCCCAACATTAGTATAAAAATATTTTGGACAATTTATCTACATAGTATTTTAGAAGCACTCTTAACAAGAATATTGTTTAAAGGATACAATGTATATAGCAGGAAAGGACATAGGAGAAGTTATTAATACAAGGAAAACTGGTATTTCTCAACCAAGGAATTAAAAGGTTCGATAATAAACCTTCAGTGTTTATTAGTCTTACTCCATTTTTTGATATTTGACTATGAACAGATGTCCTCAACTCTCCCTTTCCCCCCTCTCCGCATATGGGCAAGCTGATAAGCTCAGAAAGATCAAACCACTTGCAGGACTTAAATCCAGGCTCATCTTCTACATGCTACAGAGTCCCCAAGCAAGTCTCTTTTTCTTGCTGTCTGAGGCTCTTTTTTTTTTTTAAAATAGCTTGGGAAGGTCTCCCTGCTCTCCTTCGAAAGTCTCATGTAATAAATAGTCTCATTTCCTTTTGGTGTGTGACATCATCAGTCCCGACATCAGAGCCAAATTTTGAGTCAAGTTGATCCAGTGTCTGCAGGATGTCCAGAAGTCCAAATTAACTAAAAACATTAAAGAGTGTGGGGGTTCAATATGTGAAATTCCTATTTATGCATGTGCACACACACACACGCACACACACACAGACACACACACACACACAAACACCTCTTTTCCTCTTAATTGTATACATTCATTCTTAAGGGAAAACGCAGATCAGTGACTTTTCCAAATCATTCCATAAAAGCTCCACGCACACAAAAAAAATTATATATTTATTCTTGAAATTTTCTTTTATTTCTCAATATTTTTTCATATGCTTAATATATTTGTACTTTTCATCTCATGTACATCAAAATCCATGCAAGCTATGGGTCTTATGAAGGCACAAAAAAGGACATTTAGAAATATATGGCGCATATTCATGAATATTAACACAGGTGTTATGAGGACAGAGTCTAAAGTGGCACTGTGTTAACCATAGCCACATAAATATACAGGGGGCAGAGTGTGGGATGACTCAAGTGTAAATTATGAATATATATTTGTAAAGTTGTATTTTGCTTCATTCTACCATGGAAAGAAATTGTTACACATGCTTTTCAATCCTGAGACTAAAGATGTTGTGTTACTCTTTGTTATTAAGTACCACAGTGAAGCAGAATAGGCCTAAATTGATAGAAAAAAACATGATTCATTCGGAGTTTTTTAAAAATAATGAAATTTTATTAACTAAAACATAAGAACTATAATACATTGTAGGTAAAATGATACCAACATAATATAGTAGTTAAACATGAATCTAACACATGCACATTGTACTCTGGTTCTTTTGATTAAGTACTCCTCTCTGATAATTGTGCTCTTCAGTTCCCAAGAATAGGACTAATTTTTCACTAATCTTTGATATACAACAGCTATTTCCTTTCAAATGAGAGGATGAGCATTATTTCATCTCCATTATTTTAACCATATAAGCAGTCCCTACTAACCTATCATCTTATTTCCAAGAAAATCTTAGTCTCTCAAATGTTATGGCCTGCATTATTTTATGGTCAGCTGGCAGAGCAACTGTTTCTGATAATCCAGTGGCCCTCTGTTGTATCAATAAATCTGTCAAAGAGGATACTAAATACATTAAAGATTTACATCATAGTTTTACATGCAATTTCTGCCCATCTCCATCTCATTCAAAATCATAAAATATTGTATCTTAAAATTCAGTGTCCCTGTGCTTCCAGGAAACATGGATATGAACGATCCTCACCTAATGAAGTAGGCCCTTTAATCTCATCTATCCCTTCCCAGAGACCATCATGTTAACACACAAAAAACATGTACTAAAGGCAAAAACAAGAAATTTCAAACTTCAGGATGAAAGACATCAAAAGAAATGTAGGTTTTTCAAGGGAACTACAAATAATACAAATACAGTATCTCCCCTTATCCAGTTTTGCTTTCTGCAGTTCGTTACTTGCAGTTAACTATGGTCCAATAATATTAATTGAAAAATTTCAGAAATAAACAATTCATCTTAAATTAGACACTATTTTGAGTAGTGTGATGAAATCTCACATCATCCCACCTGTGACATGAATCATTGCTTTGTCAAGCATATCCACACCATTTACGCTACCCTCTTCACCTGTTATTCACTTAGCAGCCAACTCAGTTTTGAGATCATCTGTCAAAGTATCACAGTGCTTATGCTCAAATAAGCCTTATTTTACTAATAATGGTTCTAAAGTACAACAGTAGTGATGTTGGCAACTCGTATATGCCAAAGAGAAGCCACAAAGTGCTTCTTTAAGTGAAACAGTAAAAAGGTGAAAGTTCTTGAATTAATATAGAAAGAAAATTATATGCTGAGGTTGCTAAGATCTATAGTTAAGAACAAATTTATCCATGCAATTGTGAATAAGGAAAAAGAAATTTATCTGTGAAACTGTAAAGAAGGAAAAAGTAAGTTGTGCAAGTTTTTTTGCTGCACTTCAAAGTTGCCACTGATAATACATAGGGCTGGTACTATCTGTGGTTTTAGATATCCACTGGGGGTCTTAGAACATATCCCCCTTGGATAAGGGGGAACACTATTACAAAAGTAAAGAACTCATATCTTTCCATAAATCTCTTTCCATAAATCATTTTCAAAGGGTTTTAGTGCTTATCTACTCTGAAGAATTTAAAAATTGAGTACAACTAATCTTCTGAAACTAGAGACATAATTCTCCCTAGTATTAATTCTCTGATGTGTAGTCTATTGAGAAGTGGTTAAACAACTTACCCCTGTTCATTACATTTCTAAGATTTCTCTCCATTGTGAATTCTATGGCGAATCCTGAAGTCCATTACCTAAAGGCCTTGCCACATTAGATACATTTGTATGGCTTCTTTACAGCATGGATTCTCTCATGACCCCAAAGGTGTGAACGTTTGATAAAACCCTTACCACAATCATTACACTTGTGTGGTTTCTCTCCAGGATGTATATTCTGATGTCTAGTGAGGCTTGACAACTGCTTAAAGGCTTTGCCACATTCATTACATTTATAAGGTTTCTCTCCAGTATGAATTCTCTGATGTATTTTAAGGTTTGAATTTTGACTAAAGGCCTTCCCACATACATTACATTTATATGGTTTCTCTCCAGTATGGATTCTCTGATGCCGACTAAGACGTGAACACCAATTAAAGGACTTGCCACATTCATTACATTTGTAAAGTTTTTCTCTGCCACAAGTTTTTTGATGATCCTCCAGGCTTGAGCTCTGACTAAAGGCATTACCACATATACTAGATTCGTAGTGTTTCTTATCAGTATGTATTTTCTGATGTCGAGTAAGGTGTACAAATTGGGTAAAGGCCTTACTACATTCATTACATTTATAAGGTTTCTCTCCAGTATGGTTTCTCTTATGTTTAGTCAGGCTTGAACGCACAGTAAAGCCTTTGCCACACTCACTACATTTATGAGGCTTATCACCAGTATGAATTCTCTGATGTTCCAGAAGACTTGAACTTTGGATAAAACCCTTACCACATTCACTACATTTGTGTGGTTTTTCTCCAGTATGAATTCTATGATGTTTCACAAGGCTTGAAATGTAGATAAAAGCTTTGCCACACTTATCACATTTATGTGATTTCTCTCCAGGATGTACATTCTGGTGCTTAGTAAGGTGTGAGCACTGTTTAAAGGCTTTGCCACATTCTTTACATTTATAAGGTTTCTCTCCAGTATGAATCCTTCGGTGAATTCTGAGAGTAGACCACTGCCTAAAAACCTTGCCACATTCAATACATTTGTATGGTTTCTCTCCGGTATGAATTCTCTCATGATCCCAAAGATATGAACGTTTGGCAAAACCCTTACCACATTCATTACATTTGTAAGGTTTCTCTCCAGTGTGAATTCTCTCATGACGCCAAAGGTCTGAACATTTGATAAAAGCCTTACCACACTCATTACATTTGTGTGGCTTCTCCCCAGTATGAATTCTCCAGTGACTTGCAAGGTGTGAATTCTGATTAAAGACCTTGCCACATATGCTACATTTATACGGTTTCTCTCCAGTATGGATTCTCTGATGTCTCGTGAGATTTGAGAACTGCTTGAAGGCTTTACCACACTTGTTACATTTGTAAGGTCTCTGCTCAGAATGAATTCTCTGATGACTAGTGAGGACTGAATACTGGCTAAAAATCTTCCCACATTCATTACATTTGAATGGTTTTTCTCTAAAGTGTGTTTTCTGGTGTTGTATAAGCAATGAAGGATTCATAAAAATTTTTCCATATTTTTTAGAAATGTTGGTTTTGACAATAGGAGAAAATCTCTGAAGTGGTGAAACTGAAGAACAGTTTTTCACCGGTTTCTCAACTTGATTATTACATTCATAAATTTTCTCTTCAGCTTGAAATTCCTGTAGCTCAGTCAGATGTGACTGAAAGCTTAATCCAATCCTATTTTCAAAACATCTCTTATACTTTTCTCCTGCAGAGGCTATGCTATTTTTCACTTTTGGCAAATTCCTTGTAAATAACTTTCCATGTCTGAAATACTGATATGCAGTTTTCCTTTCAGAAACACTGTGCTTTAAAGGTAAATTAATCCAAGATTTGCTGTCTTGCTGATCTTTCCTACCACTGACATTTATGTAATCTGTTGTGGGCATTCCTTTGGAATTTCCTTCTTCAGATCCACACTTACTCTCAAATTCACACATATTTACCCAGGCTTCCCTGAAGTCAAAATCTCCAATGCAATGTCTTTCATTTCTTCCCAATGCAACTGGTTGGTATAATTTTCCTGTATCAATATCTTTTGGTAAGAATTCCTTGATCACAAATCTAGATGAGATACCTGAATAACATAAAGAACCACAGACTTCATATTAACTTGAGCTATAAGATGAATATTACATCAAAAGTAATACTTATATTGAAGAAATAAAATGTTCTCGAGTAAAATCTACAAATACTTAGGAATATAAAGTAAATAGAGTTCTTTAATAAAGGATGATTACACATATTCCAAATTATTTTAAGAGAAGACTATTTTCAAACAACATATAACCAAACTCCTCACATGAGCCCTGAAAGTTCACAACACCAAAACACACCAACTGGCAGTACACAAATGGGTGCCACACTTAAAAAAAAAAAAAAAACACATTATACAAATGCATATTCACTGCATAATTGTTGCATGCAAATAAATGCTAAAGCACAGCACTATGTGATGTGATGATAAATAATTCCAAAAAAACTTATCTAATGTATAACTTAAATGCACAGGAATTCAGAAGTGCAAAACTAAAATGCTAATAGAAAAATTAGTTAGAATTTAATAAAACGCTGGATAAGCAACAAAATATTGATGTGAATGCATGTTATAAAACCATACGCAAAATAGGCATTTTGCAACATTAACTATTGTTGCATTACAGTCATAATCCATAATAATTACTAACCCCCATCATCCGTAAATCATAAATTAACAAAATATTTCAGTAGCCTGAGATAAATGTAACAGGTAGTAAGTAAGTAACCACAAATACATGAAATTACAGGTTGGAGAATTCTAATAATTTCTCCCTTAAGAACAAGGGAATGGACTTATATTCCAAAAAAGAAAAGCACAAAATAGGAGAATCAAAAAATATGCTCCCATATATTCTTAGAAATCTAAGTCATGAACATGCTTACTGACATTTCAAAATTATTTCAGGTAAATATATGGTATTATAAAGATTAAAAGTTGGGTAAAGGTGATGTCATGAAAATTGTGGAGTAGCCAACTACAAAATGGCATCCCCCCACAGAAACAGCAAATAAATTGAGAAAAACTACCAGAATCAATTTTATTGGAATTCTGGAAACTAAACAAAGGTTCACAGTAAACAGGCAAATTCCTTAATCAAGAAAAAGGCAGCTGGTTCTTGATAGGAGACCTTGTGGTGTTTTAACTTACCCTGGTCCCATTCCTTTCTCCCCAGCACAGCAGCAGCCTCAAAGACAGCAGCCTACATTCCCAGTACAGGTCCCTCATACCAGAAAGGACAGAATAAACCTTATTCTCAACAAACTGTGGTTTTTACTTTGACCTGCCTGATGCTCCCTGAAGAACTGGCTCAAAGAGTTTTGCCTTTATTTTGCCTAATTCAAAAATCTCCCAGGGCAAAGGGACTACATGGGAGGCATTTGTTGAACACACCTAAAGACAAATATATTAGCTACTGATGCTTGGGGCAAGAGATTACAAGTGGGGTAAAAGAGAGAAGACATACTAAAAAGTACAGAAAGAAAGGTTTGGGAGTGAAATGCTTTGGAGGAATAAGGGCTTTAAAAAGCTCCTGCATATTCACAGGAATCTAACTTACACACATGCCCAGGGCTGTGTGAATGCTTAGATAACACATGAGAAGACCCTAAGGTCTCACCTCCGGCTAATCTTCAGGCTCAGCAAAAGCAGGAGGTAAAGGCTAAGGCACAGTTGTAAATTGCCAGACTTAGACTGTAAGGTATTTCCCCCCACCCCCCAAAAAACACACAGAGCCCATTTGGCAAACACTGGGAGGTTTTGGGGGGTGGGAGGGAGGGTTCCAGACATTTGAGAAATTCTGTTGAATCACTAGCTGACTATTAAACTAATCAAACAGAGACTTCATGACAAAATATACAGGCTTTACAAAATTAACTCAGAAAAATTACTAAACAAACAAACAACAGGAACCACAATAAGCAGCATCAACAAGTCCTGGGGTGTGGTTGTGGGTGTGGAAGAATCTGACTTCCAGAGCTCCCACATGATATCTAAAGACTATAGTTTAAAGAAAATTACTAAAAACTCTCAGTACATGAGGAATAGAGGGAAACTTCCTCAACTTGATTAAAAATATCTACAAAAAATCTACAGTTGACATCATACACAATAATGAGAAAATAGAAGCATTCCCACTAAGATCAGGAACAAAGTAAGAATATCCTCTCTTACCATTCCTTTTCAACACCATCCTGGAAGGCCTAGATAATGCAATAAAAAAACAAGAAAAGAAAATAAAAGGTATATGAAATGAAAAGAAATACTGTCTTTGTTCATAGATAACATGATTGCCTATGTAGAAAATGTGAAAGAATCAACAACAACAAGAACAAAATACTGGAATTAATAAGTGATTACAGCAAGGTTGCAGGAGACAAGGTTAATATAGAAAAGTCAACTGATTTCCTGCATGCCGGCAATGAGCAAATGGAATTTGAAATTAAAAATATAACACCATTTACATTAGCAACCCCCAAAATAAAATACTTAGGGAAAAATCTAACAAAATAGGTACAAGATCTATACCAGGAATACTACTCAACTCTTGATGAAAGAAATCAAAGAATTTCCTCATATGGAAAGATATTCCATATCCATGGATAAGAAGACTCAATATTGCCAATGTGAGTTCTTCCCAACTTGGTCTATAGAATAAATGCAATCCCAATCAAAATCCCAGGAAGTTATTTTGTGGCTATTGACAAAGTGATTCTAAAGTTTTACAGAGAGGCAAAAGACCCAGAATAGCCAACATAATACAATACAGAGAACCAAGTCAGAGGACTGACAGTACCTGACTTCAAGGATTACCATACAACTTGAGAAATCAAAACAGTGTGGTACTGGTGAAAGTGTAAACAAATAGACAAAGGGAACAGAATAGAGAGCCTGGAAATAGACCTACAGAAATATGTCCAACTGCTCTTTGGCAAAGGAGCAAAGGCAATACAATGGACAAAAGACAGTCTTTTCAACAAATGGTATTGGAACAACTGGACATCTACATGCAAACAACCAGACACAGACCTTACCCCTTTACAAAATTTAAATAAAAATGGATCAAAGATGTAACTGTAAAGCAAAACTATAAAATTCCTAGAAAATGACACGGAAGTTAAACCTAAACAACCTTGGGTTTGCCAATGACTTTTTCGATATAACATCAAAGGTAAAATGCATAAAAGAAAGAATAAGCTGAACATCATTAAAATTAAATTTTTCTACTATGTGAAAGACACTGTCTGGAGAATGAAAAGACAAGCCACAGACTGGGAGAGAATACTTGTAAAAGAAATGAGCTAGAAGTCATAAAAAGACATGGAGGGAACTTGGAAATCCATATTACTAAGTAAGTAAAAGTAGTAACTAAAAAAAAAAATCTGAAAAGGTTACATATTTTACGTATCCAACTATATGATATTCTGGAAAAGGCAAAACTATAGTACTATATATTAAATGTTTGTGTCCCACCAAAATTCATATGTTGAAATCCTAGCCCCAAAGGTGCTGACAATATTAGGAGGTCAAGCCTCTGGTAGAGGATTAAGTCATAAGCTCACATGCACATATTAGGACCCTTAAAAAAGCAGCCCAAGAATTCCCTTGCCCCTCCTACCATGTGAGGATACAGCTAGAAGGCACCATCTATGAGGAACTGGGACCTCAACAGACACTGAATCTGCTGGCACCTTGATCTTGGACTTCTCAGTCTCCAGAACTACCAGAAATCAGTGATATTTTTGTTAGACCAGGCCTAACAAAGTAAGACACAAAGACAGTAAAAAGGTCATTAGTTGCCAAGAGTTAGGGGGTGGAAGGAATGAATATGCAGAGCACAGATTTTTAGGGCAGGAGAAATACTCCCTGTGATACTATAAGGATGAATACATGTCATTACATGTTTGTCCAAAACCACAAAATGTACACCACCAAGAATGAATACTCATGTATACTATGGATATGGGGTGATAAGGATATGTCAGTGTTTGTTCATCAATTGTAACCAATGTACCATTCTGGTGGTGAAGCTGATAATGAGGTAGGTCATGCGTGCATGAGGTGGCCTGAGAATACACAAGATATCTCTGTACTTTCCTCTCAATTTTGCTGTGAAACTAAGAAAATAAACTCTTAAGGGCTGGCTAGTGAGCTCACTTGGTTAGAGCATGGTGTTGATAACACCAAGGTCAATGGTTCAGATCCTGGTACTGATCAGCTGCCAAAAAAAAAAAAGGAAAAGAAAGACAAAAGAAAAGAATCTCTAGGGCCAGCCCGTGGCTCACTTGGGAGAATATGGTGCTGATACCACCAAGGCCGCGGGTTTGGATCCCTATATAGGGATGCCAGTTAGCTCGCTTGGGAGAGTGTGGTGCTGACAACACCAAGTTAAGGGTTAAGATCCCCTTACCAGTCACCTCTTTAAAAAAAAAAGAAAAAGAAAAGAATATCAAAGTACAATGCCGGGCCGGCCTGGTGGTGCACTCGGTAGAGTGCAGCACTTGGGAGAGCGGCGGCACTCCCGCCGAGGGTTCGGACCCCATATAGAGACCGGTCCGCTCACTGGTTGAGTGCGGTGCGGGCGTGACACCGAGGGTTGCGATCCCATTGCCAGTCGCGGTACAGGCGCGACACCGAGGGTTGCGATCCCGTTACCGGTCACGAAAAAAGACAAAAAGAAAAAAAAAAAAGAACAATGCCTGCAAGCAAACTATGAGTTATGGCCCATAAACACATATAAAAAAGAAATTAACAGGCATTATCCCTAAGAATGCCCACCCATTGGGCTTTACTAATCAAAGAATTTAAATCACTATTTTAAATATGCTTGAAGAGCAAAAAGAAACCATGTGCAAAGAACTAAAGGAAACGATGAAAACAATATCTCCTGGAGTTGAGAATATCAATAAAGAGATAGAAATTACAAAAAAGAACCAAATAGAAATTCTGGAGCTGAAAAGTATAAGGGGGGGCGGGGAGCAGGGAACCCTAAAGTGGTCCAATAGCAGAACTGAACAGGCAGAAGATGGAATCAGCAAACCTGAAGATAGATCAATTGAGATTACCTAATCTCAGAAGTAGAAAGAAAAAATGAAGAAAAAGTAATACAGCATAAGAGACCCATGGGATACCTTCAAGCACACCAACATACAGATAATGGACATGTCAGAAGGAAAGGACAAAAAGAAATGGGCAGAAAAACTATTTGAAGAAAAAAGAAGAAAAATTCACAAATTTGATAAAAGACATGACTCTACATGTCCAAGGAGCTCAATGAACCTCAAGTAAGATAAAATCAAAGCCATTCATACTGGATACCTTACAATCAAACCACGAAAAGCCAAAGACAGAGAGTATCTTGAAAGAAACAAGAGGTTATTCCTGAGGGAGAAGGGATCTTCAATGAGATTAAAGCTGATTCCACATCAGAAACCATGAGAGCCAGAAGACAGTGAAATGACATTTTCAAAGTGCTTTTAAAAAGTAACTCTCTGCCAAGAATTCTATATCCACTAAAACTATCCTTCAAAAATAAAGTTGAAATTAAGACACTGCTCTCTCGAGTCCTCCTCTCCAAAATGACAAAGAAAAGACGGAACAACGGTCGTGCCAAAAAAGGCCACGGCCATGTGCAGCCTATTCGCTGCACGAACTGCGCTCGATGCGTGCCCAAGGACAAGGCCATTAAGAAGTTCGTCATTCGAAACATAGTAGAGGCCGCAGCCGTCAGGGACATTTCCGAAGCGAGTGTCTTCGATGCCTATGGGCTTCCCAAGCTGTATGTGAAGCTACATTACTGTGTGAGTTGTGCCATTCACAGCAAGGTTGTCAGGAATCAATCTCGTGAAGCCCAGAAGGACCGAACACCCCCACCACGATTTAGACCTGCAGGTGCTGCCCCACGACCTCCACCAAAGCCCATGTAAGGAGGTGAATTCATAAGGACTGATGAAAAACTATTCTCTGGAAAAAAATAAAATGGAAATTATACTCAAAAAAAAAAAAAGAAATTAAGACACTGCCAGAAAATCCAAAACAGAGTACATTGCTAGCAGACCTCGAATTCATAAGGACTGAAGAAAAACTATTCTCTGGAAAAAAATAAAATGGAAATTATACTCAAAAAAAAAAAAGAAATTAAGACACTGCCAGAAAATCCAAAACAGAGTACACTGCTAGCAGACCTTTCTTACAATAAATGGTGAAAGAAATCTTTTGGGTTAAAATGAAAGAATAGACAGTAACTTGAATCTACATGAAGAAAAAAGGAGCACTAATAAAAGTACTACATAGGTAAATATAAGGTCAGTATTAATGTATTTTTGGTTTGTAACTATGCTTTTTTCCCCCCATATGATCTAAAAGACAACAAAAACCATGGGCAGACCAGTTAGCTCAGTTGTTTGGAGCACAGTGTTATAGCACCAAGGTTAAGGGTTCAGATCCCTGAACTGACCAACAGGAAAAAAAAAAAAAAAGACAACAGAAAACAGTAACTATAAACCTATCCACAGACATACAATATACAAAGATGGAATCTGCAACAACAACTAGGAGAGACAATATAGAGGAGCAAAGTTTTTGTATACTATTGAAATTAACATGGTATTAATTTAAACTAAATTGTCACAAAGTAAGATTTTATTTGTACTCTCCAGGGGAACCACTAGCAAAGCAACTATATACTAAAGGAAACAATAAGATCAAAATAGCATTAGAATACCCATCTAACACAAAAGAGGATAATAATGGTGGAATTGAAGGGAAAAAAGACACAAAACACAATGAAAACTAAATGGCAAAAGTCCTTCCTTATTATTAGTTATACTAAGTGTAAATGAATTAAAACCTGCAATTAAAAGGCAGAGGTTGGCAGCACGGATTAATAAACAGGACCCAACTACGTTCTATCTACAAAAGGTTCACTTTAGATACAAAGACACAAACACGTTGAAAATGACAGGATAGCAAATAATTTTGTTATGGGCTGAATTGTGTCTCCACAAAATCAATATGTTGAAGTCTTAATCCCAGTACCTCATAATGTGACTGTATTTACAGACAGGGTCTTTAGGGGGATAGTTATTGTTAAAGTAACTAGGGTGGGCCCTAATCCAATCACTGGTGTCCTTGTAAGAAGATATTAGGACAGAGACACACACAGAGGGAAGACCACTTGAAGACACAAGGAGGAGGAGATGGTCATTTACAAGCCAAGGAGAGAGGCTTCAGATGAAACAACCCTGCCTACACCTTAATCATGGACTTCTAGCTTCCAGAACTATAGGAAAATAAATTTTTATTGTTTAAGCCACTCAGCCTATGGTACTTTTATGGCAGTCTGAGAAAACTAATAGAGATTCCATGCAAATAGTAAACAAGTTAGACCTGGTATGGCTATACTAAATACTAGAAAAAGCAGATATTTAGTTAAAAACTGTTATGAGACAAATAACATTATATATTAATAAAAGCTTCAAGTAATCAAGGAATTACAACAAATATAAACATTTACACACCTAACAACAGAGCCCCAAATATATGAAGCAAATATTTACAGAATTGAAGGGGGGGAAAAAAACAGTTCTATGATAACATTTGGAAACTTTGGTACCCTACTTTCAATAATGGATAAAACAGCTAGACAGAAGATTAATAAAGAAATAGAGAACTTAAGCAATAGTATTAATTAACCAGGCCTGACAGATATGTAGAATACTCCACCCAATAACAGGAGAAATCTTCTCTAGGTGCACATGGAACATTCTCCAAAATAGACCATATGTTAAGTGACACAGCAAGTCTCAATAAATTGAAAAAGTCCAAAATCATATTTTTTCTCTGATCAAACAGCATGAAACTAGAAATGAATGACAGAAGGAAAACTAAAAAGTTCATGAATATGTAAAAAATAAAAAACACAATCTTAAAACAACCAATAGGTCAAAGAAAATATTCTGAAAGGAATAAAACAAAAACACAGCATAGCAAAATTCATAAGATATGGCAAAAACAATATTCAGAAACATGTGGCTGTAAAGGCCTACATTACAAAAGCAGGAAGATTTCAAGATCAAAAACCTAACCTTCTACCTTATGAAAGCAGAAAAAGAGCAAATTAAATTAAACCAAAAAAAAAAGCAGAACTAATTGAATAAAAAAAATTTGTTTCAATTGAGAATAGAAAAGTACTGAGAATGAACAAAACCAAAAATTGGTTCTCTAAACTGACCATACAAAAAGAGAGAAGACACAACTACTAAGATCAGAATTGAAACTTAGGAACTTACTTACTAAAGACCTTGCACAAAAACAGAGTATATGAGAATAATATAACATTATATGCCAACACATTAGATAACCTAGATGAAATGGAAAAATTCCTAGAAACACATAAAGTACCAAATGATCTCAAAAATAGAAAATCTGTTAACACCTATAACAAGTAAGAAATTGTCAGCAATCAAAACTTTTCCACAAAAAAAATCCAAGAATAGTTTCACTAGTTAATTCTACCAATCACTGAATAAAGAATTAACACCAATTCTTCTCAAACTTATCCAAAAAATAGAAGAGAGAACACTTCCTAACTCACTCTATAAGGCCAGCACTATCCTGATTGCAAACCCAAAAATATCACAAGAAAATTACACCCATATCTCATGAATATATGCAAAAGTCCTCAACAAAATACTACCAAACTAAATTCAACAGCATGTTAAAAAGTGCTATACTTTACAACCAAGTGGATTCACCCTAGGAAGGGAAAAGTGGTTCAAAGGAGGAAAATCAATGTACTACAACACAATTATAAGAGGAAAAAACACATGATTATTTCAACTGGTGCACAAAAAGCCTTTGATAAAATCGTGCTAGAAATAGACAGGACTTCTTCAATATAATAAAAAGTATTATGAAAAAAATGTTTTAAAATTATACTCAATGGTGAAAGACTGAAAGCATTCCCTCTAGTATGAGAAACAAGAGAAATACAATGGTGCCTGCTTTCATTACTTGTATTCTATAAGTGTATTTGAATAGCCAGGGATGGGCCGACCTGGTGGCGCAGTCGGTAGAGTGCGGCGCTTGGGAGAGTGGTGCTTTCATTACTTGTATTCTATAAGTGTATTTGAATAGCCAGGGATGGGCCGACCTGGTGGCACAGTCGGTAGAGTGCGGCGCTTGGGAGAGCGGTAGCGCTCCT